AAAAAAAAAAAAAAAAAAAGAGGCACTCAATACCTCTTCACTTCACAACTGAACAGTCGAAAGCTCTGCTGTGGCCTCAAAGTTCAATTCAAACTTTTCACTTGGGAACCTCCATCAATGAGCCCCTACTCTGCTCCAGGCTGAAAAGTTTAGAGTCTACTGGAGAAGTCTGCTGCCACACAACTAACAAAATTAATCATTTAATTATAACAGTGGTGAGTCCTACAGAAGAGAATTACTTTCACACACTCTGACTTATACAACCCTAGCTCACTACTCACCACTAGCCCTGGCACTTTGGACAAACAAGTTATTTAACTTCTCTGTTACATTTGACTGCTAACCAGAAGGCTGGTGGTTCAAACCTACCAGCCACTCCTCGGAAGGGCGATTGGGCGATCTACTTCCATAGTGACACTGCCTCGGAAACCCAAGGAGGGGCAGCTATGAGTCGGACCCAACTCGACGGCAGTGAGTTTTTTTTGTTTTGTTTTGTTTTGTTTTGTTTTACAGTGGGGATTATAATGTGTAAGAAGTATTTAGAAGCAGCCGGACATACAAGGACTCAATATTAATGTTAGCAGCTGTTGCTTCTCTCACTTCATCCTCTTATCAGCCCTGGGACATAGGTATCATCCTCGTCTGGCTGGTAACACTAGGAAGGTGCAACTCGCCCAAAGCCAGCAGATGCGACAGCTGTGGCTCTTTGGTTGGGCACTACTCAGATCCCACTTCTGCCCGCGCCTCCTTTGGGTGGCGATCTGAGACTGACCCACCCCATCACTCGCCTGCCAGGCACAGGTAACGAGACTGGTGGCCTCTCCAATTTCTCTCAATTCAGTGTTCACTACAGTGGAGAAAGGAAAAAGAGGGGGCTCCCTCTTCCACCACCACCACCACCACAAGTCAGGGCAGAATCCCGCCGCCAACCCAACCCACGGCCAACGCTCCGGCTGGTTCGCTGCCCTCCTCTCTCGCCATGAGACCTGGAGCAACTGCTCCTCAGTTTCCTCCTCTGTAAAATGGGGGTAATAATAGCTCAAACCTCAAGCGGCCCTACCCAGAATTAAGTGGGCGTCTAGCGCAGCGCCTTAATAATAGCAATAATCTAAAGCGACATAAGTGGCATATAATAATCACTTTACGGTATGCAAGGTCGGCGGGACGGCCTCGCGGGCTCGAACTGACCTGGCGCCCTCGCCCAGCTCCCCGTGCGTATTGTAATTCACTGTCATGACCTTCACCGAGTCCTTGAACACCACATCACCCTGGTTCAGGTACTGCAAGGTGCGGCGGATGGGGAAGCGGCCCTTCATAGGCATTGCAGCGACAGCGAGGCCCGGCCACAAAGGCCCAGGAGGTAGGAGTGAAGGGACCAGCCACCGCTTCTCCGCGCGCCGCGGTCTTGTTCTCTTGCTGAATCACCTGACGCTTCCCTACGAGCAGCGCGCGCTTGCGGAGCAGCCTGGGACTCGTAGTCATGGGGAAGTGGGCGTGTATACTTTCCTTTAGGCATTTGACTGCTAACCAGAAGACTGGCGGTTCAAACCCACCAGCCACTCTTGGGAAGGAAGGTTGGGCAATCTACTTCTTTAGTGATACCGCCTCAGAAACCCAAGGAGGGGTTGCTAATAGTACGATCCCACTCCACAGCAGTGAGTTTGGTGTTTTTTTGTTTTGTTTTGTTTTGTTTGCCCTGGAGCAGATTCTTACTCATAGCAACCCTATAAAAATCCCTTTTCCTGGAACGTATGGGTTTTCATACTCTTAGTCATTCCACAACCACCACCACCAGCCCACCCCAGCCCACCACTGACACCACCATCCCCCACCACACACACACACACACACACACACACACACAGGAAAATCTTCTTAAATCAGGAGACCTGAGTTCAGATATTAAGTCTAGTGACAACTCACTGTTCAAGCTCATATAAGTCAAATTTTGTCTATCAACGCCACAGTTTGAATTGCAAATTTCTATCATTAAATACCACTATTCATCTGTCAGTTTGTCATACTATGGTGGCTTGAAAGTTGCTGTGAGACTGGAGGCTATGCCACCAGTATTTCAAATACCAGCAGGGTCACTCATGGTGGGCAGGTTTCAGTGGAGCTTCCAGACTCAGACAGACTCAGAAGAAGGAAAGGGCCATCCACTTCTCAAAGTATTGGCCAGTGAAAACCTTATGAATAGCAATGAGACGCTGTCTCATATATTGCTAGAAAACTTTATGAGTAGCCCTGAAACATTGTCTGCTACAGTGCCAGAAAATGAGCCGCTCAGGTCGGAAGGCACTCAAAATACGACTGGGGAAGAGCTGCCTCCTCCAAGTACAGTCGATCTTAATGTCATGGATGGAGTAAAGCTTTCCGGACATTCATTTGTTCGTGTAGCAAGATTCAAACTGGGAGGAAACAACTGCAAACATCCATTAATAATTAGAACATGGAATGTATGAAGTATGAATGTAGGAAAAATGGAAGTTGTCAAAAATGAAATGAAACACATAAAGAACAATATCCTAGACATAAGTGAGCCAAAATGGACTGGTTTTGGCCATTTTGAATCAAATAACCATATAATCTACTATGCTGGGAATGACAAATTGAAGAGAAATGGCATGGCATTTATCATTACAAAAAATGTTTCAATGGATAACCAAACTTTGGTACATTCACACAATGGAATACTATGCAACGCTAAAGAATAATGTAGAATCTGCAAAACACCGCATAACG